AATGTTTACTTTTTTGATAGACACAGGTGCCACAATTTTGGTAATTAAAGCCAAACAAATCCTGAATATTTTAATGTCAAGTCAAGCCTTGACGACAGTAGGGCATCCGATCTAACACAAATTTAACGGTTATCAGTACTGGTAGAATTCACATTGGAAAACTATGTTGGCTCTCATCATTTTTTTACATTTCTGACACATGTTCAGTTTATTTACTGGGGAGAGATGTGATTGATAAATTAGCATTGCATATCGAAGGAAGTGTGCTCCTTTTTTCAACAGGCACAAGACTGGGAGCACACTACAATTATGTCTGTGAAAGCTTAGACGTTGACTGTGTTCCTTACTTTTCTATGTGTTCAGTCCAATGTGACATGCACACTATAAATGCTTCTGTAACCAGTTCTAAATTCTAAGGGAAAAAACTCAAAATTGGTAAAATGTTGAATGCAGGACTTTTGGTAGTTACTCCTAAAACTATGTTCTGACTGTATTGTGCTTAGTGTCCTTCAAGTGAAAAAGTGGCATTCTAAAAGTACATACGTCTCTAGTGGAAGAAGCTGCACTTGCACCTTGTGAAGCTTCTCCTGCAAACTCTCCTATCCTAGTGGGTGGTGGAGAAAGATTATCACCAAAAAGTTTGGCACAATCCTAGGTGGCTGTGACCATGGCAGCTGCTCTTAATGACTCCAACTGCAGTTCCTGTAGCCGAAAGACTACTGAAAACCCAATTATACTGCTCAACCCCACCCCTTCGAGTGAAGCCACTAAATCCAGAATCCAAAGAAAGTTGGGCTACAGCATTATTATTCCCCTAAAAGACCAATTAGATTTGCATGGCTACAGGAGACAATACTGAATGACCCACCATGGGTTGGGTCGCTTTATTCTACAATTTCTTATTAAACTAAGTGAAAGGACTTTTACTCCTGATAGTGGCATGATTTCTATCAAAACTGTGTATTATGTTGGTGTGTGTGTAATGGAACACCACCATCCAAGAGACAGAACTCCCCTAACTTTCCTTTAGAGAACTGAAGGACAATTCTGTCACTGTGACTGCAGGAACAGTAGTAACTGGTAAGTCTTTTCATTTAGCTGGGCTCTGTATATGATCCACACATAAAAAAAAAGTTCACACAGGAAGCACATGATGCTCGCACACTGCAGCAACTGAGTGAGCTGAAATGAGGATATGGTGAGAGGTGAGAAAGAGATGCACTCGTAGGAAGCTTTGAGCTGAGAGATGCCACTTGAACATTTCCGTCAGCCAAAACCAGTCAATGCAAATAGACCACTAGTTCCACTGGTCTCCTTCTGAGCTGTAGTGGTGTAGTTATTTGGCTGCAAAATAACGGTTTGTACGTGAGTGTTATGTCCCATGTTTGGTTGTCTTTTTCTTTCTGTGTTGCCAGGTTGGTATTGCTACATGACTGATATCCTGCCTTTTCTGGCACATGATTGGCTGCTCCAGTTGGCGCTGACTACAAAATAATCTCCGCTGGCTACACACCAGTCAATAGGTTATCTGTTCTGTGATCCAAGCTGCCTACAGTATTCAACATTCTCATTGTTTTAATCAGACACTTGTGTGTCAGTTTGTGAATTGTGATTTCTTTACATTAGACTAACTGTCCGAGGGATAGCCAGAGTCATGAAGGGTAAAAATACTCCGCTTTGTAGAACCACAGTATCTTACACACCATGGGTACTGAATATAGGTATAAATTCACTTTCCTGTGCCATGCACAACCGCTCACAGCCAATAGATACACCTGCCTGAGCAAGTAACTCCCATCTCTATAGGACCAAGGTCTGACTACGAAATAACGTCTCATATTGTTTCTGTGCTAACTATGCACATGCTAAAACTGAGGTACCTGTTGGTTCTAGTGATTGTTCTGAAGAAGTCTCAGCCAATTTGCCAGACTCACCTTTGCTGCTAGAGGGAAATTTTTGCTGTGTGTGATTTTAATGCCTGCTGGCAGTTGCCCAAAAAATCCTTTGCTACCCAGCTAGCTCAGTCCAGTTCATTAGACACATGCAGCCACAAGACATTCGAGCCATGCACAGGCAAAAATGAACACTCATGCAAGCTGAAACTCTAAAGGGGTGATTTTATCTGGTTATGGTTTTTATAGTGTTGAGAAAGAAATTAAAGCACTTCTGGGAGTCTCAGAAAACCACATAAATGCCTCTCTTAAAGAAGTGCAAGCTACTCAGAAGAAAGTGAAGGAAATAATAGAAGTAGCTCTGCAAAATCGTGTTGCATTAGATCTTCTCTTAGCAGAGAAGTGGGGTGTTTGCCAGGTTGTGGAAGGTGCATGCTGCACTTATATTTCCGATGGCTTAAGCACCGTGTGAGACTTAGCCCAATATGCCTCTAACAGTACAAAAGATCTACACAAAGCCTTCTTCTTTTCTGTATTTGTTCACTAGTGAGACAAAAATACTGTCGGTCATGGGTTCTGATCATTATGTTGGTGTGGAAACTGTTCATGCTGTGCCTGATTCGCTGTATGGCTGGTCCCAGCAATGAGAACATGGCTCTTGATTAATATCCTCATTTGTGCCATTGGATTACCACCCTGACCTTTCTGTCAAAGATGACTTCAGTGTTTAAGCAGTCTTGGCCCACACACTTGCCTTCCTATGATGGAAACATTTTTGCTAAATTAAGTTTTTCACAAGTATATTAATTTTATTGGAAACTCATATTAGTTGACTTCACTCAAAATGATGTTCATGTTATTCAGTTACATAAAATTGTTTTGGTTAGCTGCTCATAAAGTGTACCAATAGAACTAAAGCAGTAAAAAAGCAGAGAGCTATTAACACACGACTTTAAAGTAACTGCTGACCTCTAACATCTGTGGTTACTTATTTTATTGTTTACTGAGTTTAAGATTTGCAGGGCCTGTGTGTTGTCTTGATCTTTATTTCACTAAAATCATAATACATATACTTTAAATAATGTTTTTAACTGTTTCCACAACTAATCTTAACCTGCAGTGAGGTTTGATGTTTGTTAGTTAGAATATCAGTGTTACTATCAAATGAATTATTCCTTGCATAGTATCTAACTGTTTTGCTTTTAGTTGAGGTATGTTTATAAATAATAGACATAAATTGGACCTCAGTTTTAAAAATGAAACCCCTGGGCTACAGTAACCTCCTGAGTCAGTGTCACCAAGTTAAGGAGTACACACTCAATTACTACATTAATGTCAAAAGTTAAAATTAATTCATTCTTTCATTTAACCACAAAGTAATATTCAGGCAAGGCAGGTTCCTGTATATAACACATTTCATAAAGAAAGGAAGTTCCACGTGCTTTATTGTGTTTATTGTGCTTTAATGTTTTTAATGTGTTTTAATGTTTTTTATTGCTTAAAAAGCCAAGTTCAAGCTTTTTTGTTTAATATATTTTATGTTGAATAAAATTTAAATCTGTACACTGTTTCAGAAACACGCTGTTAAACTGTAATAAAATAAACATGAAAAAAATATATTTATCAACAGGCCCCAAAACATTGGATCATAGGAGACAGCTCCATCCATCGTGCAAAATTGGAGTGAAGAGAACCACAGGGATTGACATTGGCCTGAATGCACAGGTCCACATATGACTGGCTGTCGTCACTCTGTAGGTGGCATCATCTCCATCTTATAAACTCCAGATGTAAACTGGATTTCTCTATGATAGTCTCTATTCTCTAAAATGAATGGGATTTTCAAAAATCAATCACATCCATATCGGGTCATAGTCATACAGAAATCCAGCATAGACTCAGAATCTGCAAAGTACAGTATTATTTACATATAAAGTGCAGGAAAGTAACCATGGTAGACGATGCTGTGGTTACAATATATACAGTTAAGAATTTTAAATTTATATGCAAATATGAATAGTGCAATAATACTAGGATATAAAGTACAATACAGTGCAGTAAGTGCAGTGATGCAGTTAAAGTGAGGGTGTGGAGTTCAGCAGTTAAATTGACTGTGAGGAGGTCAGCAGGGTCACAGCCTCAGGGAAGAAGCTCTTCCTGAGCCTGCTGGTTTGGGAGTGGAGGCTCTTGTAATACCTGCCAGATAGAAGGAGGGCAATAAGTTCATGGTTAGGATGAGAAATGTTCTTGATGATGTTCCTCCTCCTGCCCAGGCATCGCTTATGGTAATTGTTCTCAATGGAGGGTAACTGGGCCCTGGTGATGCGTTGGGTTTTCACCACCTGCTGGAGCTCCTTGCAGTCAGATGCGGAGCCACACTGAGATGCAGTTTGTGAGTTTGCTCTCAATGGTACAGCGGTAAAAGTTCACCAGTATCCCGGGACACAGGTGAGCTTTCTTAAGTCTCCATAGGAAGTACAGACGCTGTTGTTCCTTTTTGACCAGGTTAGAGGAGTTTAGGGAACAGGTGAGATTATCAGAGATGTGGATACCAAAGAACTTGAAGCCAGACATACAAGGTTACTCATCAATACTGTAAAAAAAAAAAGTAAACAACGTCAGACGGAGCCACTGGCTGTGCTGTGTCCACTGTGGTCCAGGCTATAGAGGAATGCACCTTCACAAAGCTGTCAATCCACTCAGTCCACAGCTGTCAATCACTTCATAACCACACCCCTTTAAATATCACCAAATAAGTTCTCTAAATTGTATTGTGAAAGAGAATATTGTGGTATGTTTAAGAGGTGCCAAAGCTTGTAGAAGTAACAAATCTCACCCCCTTTTGTCCCATCCACTCTTATATACAGTGCATAGCTGACACTGGTAATGTCAAAGTAAGTAAGTGTGAGAATAATCTTGATTATAAACTTAGCTAAATTTTTATATTAATCGAGTATTTAGCTTCAATAAAACAGCTTTAACTTTCTGCCTGCTAACAAAATAACCTGAAGACATATAGCTCAACATGCTGACAACATTTTTAAGAACAGTATTGTGTGCAGATGTTTCCGGTGTGAGAAGGGAAGTGAGTTAGTCACTGTGGTTGATGCTATTTTACTGAAATGATGGTTGCACCTTCTTCTACAAACAGGGCTTCCTTTTTTGAACTCAAAGTTCACGCCTGATGGGGACATGATCTCATCATGTTGCAGGACCTACATTTGGTAAGGTTTGCTCTGTAACCAATCATAAGCTTTATACTGCCTGTTCTGACGTGCCTATATAATCCACTGTCGGATGATGAATGTTTGACAGTTTTCGTTGCAGAACAGATCTCTTCCAACACTGTAATAAAAAAAAAAGCTTTTCATTAACTCATGACTTCTCATCTTTAACTGGATGGAATAATTTCTCCCTAACAGTGATAACTGAGGACAGCTGCTGTGGACAATTCTGAGGAAAGTTACTCAGGACAGTTATTGTGGACATTGGGCAATCAGTGAGAACAATTACTGTGGACTGCTCCTGCGGATGGTGACTGTGGACAGTTAATGTGGTTACTGTGGACAGTTTCATTAGGGGTTACTGTAGATGGTTCTTGTAGGGGTTAATATGGATGGTTCCTTTAAGGGGTAAGATGGACGGTTCCTTTAGGGGTTACTGTAGATGGTTCCTTTAAGGGTTAATGTAGATGGTTCTTGTAGGGTTTAATGTGGATGGTTCCTTTAAGGGTTAATGTGGATGGTTCCTTTAAGGGTTAATGCGGGCGGTTCCTTTAAGGGTTTAATGTGGATGGTTCCTTTAAGGGTTTAATGTGGACGGTTCCTTTAAGGGTTTAATGTGGATGGTTCCTTTAAAGATTAATGTGGACGGTTCCTTTAAGGGTTTAATGTGGACGGTTCCTTTAAGGGTTAATGCGGATGGTTCCTTTAAGGGTTAATGTGGACGGTTCCTTTAAGGGTTTAATGTGGACGGTTCCTTTAAGGGTTAATGTGGACGGTTCCTTTAAGGGTTTAATGTGGACGGTTCCTTTAAGGGTTAATGTGGATGGTTCCTTTAAGGGTTAATGTGGACGGTTCCTTTAAGGGTTTAATGTGGACGGTTCCTTTAAGGGTTTAATGTGGACGGTTCCTTTAAGGGTTAATGTGGATGGTTCCTTTAAGGGTTTAATGTGGATGGTTCCTTTAAGGGTTTAATGCGGATGGTTCCTTTAAGGGTTAATGCGGACGGTTCCTTTAAGGGTTTAATGTGGACGGTTCCTTTAAAGGTTAATGTGGACGGTTCCTTTAAGGGTTTAATGTGGACGGTTCCTTTAAGGGTTAATGTGGATGGTTCCTTTAAGGGTTAATGTGGATGGTTCCTGTATTGCATAAGCTGGACTCTTCATGTGGGGTTGAGGGTATCTGAACTGCTCCAGTGTTAGAGCTTGTTGGCTGTAAGGATGATGGCATGGCTTTCAGGATTCCATAAATTCCTAAAGTTTTTGCTGCTGACCCTGGGCACCCTGCTGACCACTTACATCATTATGATTTCCATGCAGAATCCGTGAGTATAATGTGTTTTTTGTTTTTTTGTTTTTTTTTTTGTGCATGTACAGAATATATTATATATACATGTAATTATATTATCTACCTGTATAAAACAGTTTATTTGTATGAAGCTGATAAAACAGGTTTGAATTTGAGATGTTTTAAATTATGATGGATTATTAGAAAATCATTAGGAAAAGTAGAACACAAAACAGTGCAGCGATTTCTTCACCTTCTCTACTGCCGATTATTATAAAAATGAGAAGAAGAAAAATAACTTTAAACAGAACTTCTCTGTAAGAGATGGAACACTGAAATAAAGTTCAAGAAACTGAAAGGAAGAAGATGAAATGCATAGTAATAGAACAAATTTTAAATTAATAACAAAGTGAAAATATGATTTTTATGCAGTATAATTTTAATTTAAAGCTGAGTTAAAAATAACTGTTTATTAAAAGTGAGCTCTGAGCTGGACTGTCTAATAAAAGCTGAACTGAGCTCCACAGTTTAGAAGCAGAATAACTGAAAGAGTCTCTCCACGTTTTCTGTGTTTTACTGAAGGTATTTGCAGAAGGTCAGTATCTAGATAGATAGATGATACTTTATTGATCCCAAAGGAAATTTAGCAGCCAGTAGCAGTCACACAACACAGGACAGTGATGGTAATAAGGGTGTAAACAATATAACAGGAAGAATAAATATAAAACATCCTATCTACAGACACATATACAGATAGAAAAATGTGTGACTATGTTTACATGCAGATTAAACAGAGCTCAGAGTCTAAGATCACACCCAGGTTTCTACTGCAGGTTTGGTGGATAAGGACAAAGAGCCGAGATTCTCATAAAACAGCTTTCTTTGAGTTTTTGGACCAATGATTAATATCTCACCTTGATTAAGCTGCAATGTTGGAGATCCAATGAGGAAAATCACACAATTTATTAGTCTGTCAACAGAGTCTTTATTTTCAGAGGGAAACCAAATATACTGCATGTTATTAGTGTGGTTATGAAAATGGATTTCCTGTTTCCTGGCCACATTTCCTACAGAGAGCACATACAAACGGAAAAGCAGGGGTCCTAAAATGGAACCTTGTAAAACCCTGGTGGAAAGTTTTCAAGCTTCAATGATTTCCCAACACAACGACAAACTACCTGTGCATCATTTATCTTACAAAACAGCCTTCATGCCAAAATGTCAAACAGTGTATAGTTAAAACATCATTTACACATAATAATATATCTGAATTCCCCTGTTTGTACTCATCGTAAGGTACAAACTGTAAGTATTAAATACTGCTGTGGCAGTAGCGAGCCAGCAGGAAGGCGGGGCCCGAACACCGAGCAGCGACGCACCTCGGTGGGGATGACAGAGAGAGAGTCGCGAGTGGGGCGGGCGCATGCCACAACAGTGTTAACAGAAATGTTCTTTAGGAACCTAAATCAACTAAAGTACTAAACTGTCACTGTTCAGTCTTCTCTAATGACTGTGTGTAAATATGATTTCCAGAGTGTATCCAGCCAATCAGATGCAGGAGTTTTATCACAGAGTGCACTGTTCCCGCCTCCAGGCCAAGATCTCCAACATGAGCACCACTAAAAAGTGAGCTGTTCATCCGTTACTGAAGATGTTCTGGATCGACTGCTGCCGACTCAGAACTGATCAGGATCATATTCATCTTCTATTCAGGAACATTTTCCTCTTTAAAGCTCTCCAAACGGAAGATCTGTAGTCGGTCAGAACGCATGCAGTATTATCTTACATAACTCAATAACTCTATAAAACACCACTGTATTATTATGAACACCATAACTGCTGTATTTTTATACATAAAACAAAAACTGTATATAATATTGCACTGTGATTGTATATAATGCCATAACTGTCTATATTACTGCAGTGTTATTATACATAACATCATAACTATATATATTACTGCAGTGTTATTATAGATAACATTGTAACTGTATATAATACTGCAGTGTTATTATAGATAATGTCGTAATTATATATAATACTGGAGTGTTATAAATAACGTCATAATTGTGTAAAATACTGCAGTGTTGTTACAAATAATACCATAACTGTATATAATACTGCAGTTATTATCGATATCAACAAAACTGTATATAATGCTGCAGTGTTATTATAAATAACATCATAATTGTATAAAATACTGCAGTGGTATTATAGATAATGCCATAATTACATATAATACTGCAGTGTTGTTACAAATAACACCATAACTGTATATAATACTGCACTGTTTTATAGATAACAAAACTGTATATAATACTGCACTGTTTTATAGATAACAAAACTGTATATAATACTGCAGTGTAATTATAGATAATTCTGTATATATTTATAATACTGCAGTGGTATTATAGATAACAGCGTAACTGTATGTAATACTGCAGTGTTATTATAGATTGTCAGACAACTTGAGCGAAAATGGCGCCTGACTAAACTAGAAGTGTTCCAGTCCGCCTGGAAGGAGAGCCTTATAGACTGTAGAAGAGCACTTGCTACAGCACGCTCAGCCTCTCTCTCCTCTCTCATAGAGGACTATTATTTAGCAAATTTCTAAAATAACGAAGAACCAAACAGTTAGTGAACCCCAGATGCCATCAGCCTATAGCAGCAATGATTTTATGAACTTCTTTAGTGATAAAATTGAAAAAAAAAAAATAGGCAGAAAATTCAGAAACCACAGTTAAACTCTACAAACCTCCTGTCTTATAATGCCAGTCTAGATCCTGAGAATATTATAATCACTGTAGAGAGGCTGGAATCGTTTACCTTACTTCAACAAACTTACCTAGTTAAAATTGTTTCCTCTGCAAAATCTTCTACTTGTATGTTAGATCCAATTCCTAAAGGTTTACTCAAGGAAATTTTGCCAGAAATAACCAAGCCTATTCTGTCAATAATAAACTCCTCTCTTAGCCTTGGCTATATACCAAAAACTCTCAAACTAGCAGTATCTAATTATATACTATCAAATTATAGACCCATCTCGAATCTCCCCTTTATATCTAAGATCCTGGAAAAAAGTTGTGGCAAAACAATTAAGTTCCTATTTGTATAGAAATCAAATACACGAAAAATTTCAATCTGGTTTTAGGCCACATCATAGTACAGAGACAGCACTAGTGAAAATTGTAAATGATCTTTTATTATTCTCTGACCAAGAAAATGTGTCTGTGCTAGTCCTCCTTGACGTTATTGCGGCATTTGACACAATAGACCACACTATCTTACTAGATAGTCTAGAAAACCTTGTAGGGGTAACAGAAACAGCTCTTTCCTGGTTCCGGTCCTACCTCACTGATCACTATCAGTTTGTTAATGTAAACAGTGAATCATCTGTCCTTGCAAAAGTAAACTATGGTGTTCTACAAGGCTCTGTTTTAGGACCTGTATTATTCTCACTATATATGCTACCACTGGGCACCATTATCAGTAAACATGGCATCAATTTCCACTGCTATGCCGATGACACTCAGTTATATATATTAAGCAAACTGGATGATAAAATTAAACTTGGCAAGATTGAGGACTGTATAATAGACACAAAAGACTGGATGTCAAGTAACTTTCTCCAACTTAACTCGGATAAAACAGAGGTTCTGCTTCTTAGCCCTAAAGCTGCTCGAAACAAACTGTCTAATTTTACATTTAAACTTACTAGTTTCTCAGTTGCATCAAGTTCATCTGTAAAAAATCTTGGTGTAATTTTTGTCTTGGTGTCATGTAATTTTTGCAACTTCCCTCTGAGCTACGGAAGTCCCTTGTGGCCAGCCAGACTCGGTCACCAGGTTGGAATGTCGGGGTAGGACCTCTGTGTCAATCCACTTGTTCTTTGTGGCACTGGAGAATGTTTTCTATGCGTTGGTGGGTCTCCTCCCATACTTGTTCGCTCCTTCTCATCCAGTGGTCCACGGCAGGAACATCTGTGTGGGATCCCGTCCATGGCGCTAATGGTGGTTGGTAGCCTAGGACACACTGGAAAGGAGTCAAACCTGTAGTGGAGCTTAACAGTGAATTCTGTGTGAGTTCTGCCCATACCAAATATTTAGCCCACTCAGAGGGGTTGTCGTGACAATATATCCGTAGAAATTTTCCCAATTCCTGGTTCACGCGTTCACATTGTCCGTTCGTCTGGGGATGATAACCAGATGACAGGCTAACAGAAACTCCGAGGTGCTCAAAGAAAGCAGCCCACACTTGGGACGTGAACTGCAGACCTCGTTCAGAGAGGATGTCCTCAGGAATGCCAAATCTGCAAAACACAGGCTGGAATAAAGCCTGAGCTCTCTGAAAAGTACTAGGTAGCGCTGCAAAAGGTATAAACCTCACACCTCGGAAAACCTATCCACCACCGTCAATATGGTTGTACATCCCTGCGATTCAGTTAAATCTGTAACGAAACCTACCGCTATGTGGGACCATGGCCTGTTAGGTACTGGTAAGGGCATTAACTTCCCTGTGGGGAGACTCTTTGGGGTTTTACACTGTGAGCACGTTGAACATGACAAAACAAAGAAATGAATGTCTTTAATCATGGACTCCCACCAATACCAATGGGCTAACAACTTATGAGTGCGTGTCTCTCCACGATGCCCGGCTGTGAGGGATGAATGTGCCCAGGTAATAAGCTGGGTGCGAAATGCTTCCGGGACATACAGTTTATCAGGTGGACACTGGCTGGGTATAGCTTGGTTACTGAGGGCCTTTTCAATGTCTTCATCTATCTGCCATCATACGGAAGAGTTGGTTACGTCGGGGGGCAGAATGGGTTTAGAAGTTTCAGTGTTAACAACACCCTTTTCTCCTTTGTGGATTCGAGACAAAGCATCTGCCTTCGTATTTCGGGAAACTGGTCTATAGGTTATATTAAAACGGAACATTGCAATGAAAAGGGACCACCGGGCCTGTCATGCATTAACTCGCTGCGCAGTACGAAGATATTCAAGGTTCTTGTTGTCTGTAAGGACAGTAAAGGGGTGGTTGGCACCTTCCAGCCAATGATGCCATTCTTCTGGAGCTAACTTAACCGCTAATAGCTCCCGATCTCCTATTCCGTAATTCTTTTCTGCTGGGGACAGTTTATGACAATAAAAAGCCACAGGGTGTAGTTTCGGAGGAACTCCAGTTCTTTGTGATAGAACTGCCCCCACTTCAGTTTCAGAGGCATCCACTTCTACTACAAAAGGTTGTTTCGGATCAGGGTGTTTCAGGATGGGCGCGGTTGTGAATGCTACTTTGAGACCCTGGAATGCCTGTTCTGCAGCTTCTGTCCATATGATCTTCTTGGGGTTACCTTTAAGCAGTGAGGTCAGAGGAGTGGTAATGCTACTAAAGTTTCTGATAAAACATCTATAAAAGTTCACAAAACCCAAAGACCTCTGTAGTTCTTTGACTGACCTAGGAGTAGGCCAATGAACTACGGCGTCTACTTTTTGGTCATCCATGATGACTCCTTGGGGACTTATTATGTATCCCAAAAAGGATACGGACTGTAGATGGAACTCACACTTTTCCGCTTTTAAAAACAAATTGTTGTCTAGCAGCCTTGGCAAAACTAAACGAACGTGTTTAACGTGAGTCTCAAAGTCAGGAGAGTAAACCAGGATATCGTCCAAGTATGCTATCACATATTGTCCTAGCATGTCTCTGAGTGTGTCATTAATGAAAGCTTGGAACACAGAGGGGGTGATAGAGAGCCCGAAGGGCATCACTAAGTACTCATAGTGCCCCCTGATGGTCAAAAATACTGTCTTCCACTCATCTCCTTCCCTCACTCAAACCAAGTTATAAGCACTACGAAGATCCAATTTCATGAAAAACTTAGCACCTTTAAGCTGTTCTACTGCCACGGGTACTAGTGGAAGAGGATATGGATATGCTTTAGAAATTTGATTAAGGGCCCGATAATCAATACATGGATGTAGTCCTCCATGCTTCTTCTTTATGAAGAAAAAGCTAGATGCTATGGGGGACATTGAAGGTCTGATGAATCCCTGATCTAGAGCCTCTTGAATGTAAACATCTAGGGCCTTTTGTTCCTCCTGTGTGAGTGGGTATACTCTAGACTTGGGAAATATGGGGTTTTCTACTAAATCTGTCGCACTAATGAGGTGGTGGCTTGGTCGCATTTTCTTACTGAAAACCTCTTTGAGGTCATTATCACAAAGGGGAATCACAAAGTCGGTGTCAGCCTGAGGGCTTTCTACAGATGTAGACAATAGGGATAGGGCAGGAGGGGCAAGGCAGGTTTTTACACAAAAATCAGACCCTTTGATAATGGTATGTTCGGGCCAGGAGATTAATCGTGTTGTGCTTTTCTAACCAAGGGAGGCCTAGAATGATCTCAAATTCAGATTGTTCTTTGTGGGCACACTCACCACATTAGCACATGGAGTTAACTCCACGTGCTGTCCAGGGGTCGGTCCCATTGGTTTTTGTGGCTGGGGCTCAGCATTCACAAAGTTGATGTCCTTCCTTGCCACAGTACAGACAGAGATGGTTCTTCATTCTGCGTTGCCTTTCTTCCTGTGATAATCGGGAGGAGTCAGATTGCATGGGTTCAGAGGAGTCGTTGTTGTCAGGCAGAGTTCTTCCTCGAGGAATAACTCTTTTCTGTTCTCGAGTGGATTTGGCTCGTGAACAGAGATGCAATAAATGATCTAATTTGATCGCTGGAGTAATAAGCTGATCAAGGGTTAAATCGTCATCTTTACTGGCCAGTTCGTTGAGAATCTCTGGATTTAGCCCTTGACGAAAAATAACCAGAAGTGCAGCCTCATTCCAGCTGCTACTGGCAGCGAGAGTTCTAAACTCTAGCGAGGAATCCACCACCGAGCGATTTCCCTGCCGTAGCTTGCACAAGAGTTCTCCACTAACTTTCACTTCATAGAGATGGTCGAACACTGTTTTGAATTGCGTAATGAACTGAGCATAAGACAGATGATGAATATCAGTTCAACTGGCGGTAGCCCATTCCAGTGCTTTACCAACTAAGAGAGATACAACAAACGTGATTCATGTTTGATCTGAACTATGGGGGGAATTTTCAAAAAACACAGAGCATTGTAGCAAAAAAACCCGACATTTATCTGGATCACCCTCGTACTTATCGGATATACTAACTGGAAAGCATGCCTCTGGGTTTTCCACAATAGCTGGAAAAGGAACTGGGCTTACCGCTGTGTCTGTGAGGGTCATATTCTGTAGTTGTCCTGTTAGACTCTCCATACTAGCGACCAACTGAGCCAACTGAGCCTGTTGTTCAGCCTGCTGTTGAGCGAGTGACTCCAAGGAATGCGTCACGCCGGATAGTACTTGCTGGTGACGACCCAGAAGTTGTCCTTGCTCCGTCGGAGACTCATGAAAGGCTTCTTGTTCCGCCATCTGCATATTAGGCAAGGTATTCTGTAATGATTCATCAGAAGCCAGACACTTTCGGATTAAAAGGGCAAAACGTGTTTTAATAGGGCTAGGCAGATGCGTGGTCAAAATGCAGGCGTGGGTCAAATCCAAAAGACAAACCAAAAACAAAGTGGTGATCATATCACCGAGCAGACAAAGTCAAAAGGGCAAGGCAAAAACAAAGTCAAAAAACAGGCAAAGGTCCAAAAACACTGATCAGCAAAGACAGGCAACAGTACAAAAGGGCAAAGGCAAAAGGCAAAGTCAAATAACGGAACAATGGTCAAAAACGTACAGCAAATAACACTCGGGAAAAACGCTCAGTACGTTCATGAAGAAGCAAAACCTCGCAAAGAGCTAAACTAAAGCCTGGGCTTAAAACCTAACCTGACTAAGTCGTATGACTCTAAACACAGGTGCAAACATTTAGTATTCAGGTGAGCATGACCTCTGATAGGAGCATGTGATCTCAGAGGTCATGTGATTTCCCATAGTATTGTGTGTAATGCAGTCCGTTGAGTTTTCCAAGTCGGAGGGAAGTTG